TAGTGTTTGACCATGATCATTATTTTCTAAATTTATTTTTAAATGCCTTGCTTATCAAGTTCAAATTTCCTGTGTTCCAACCTATGTCCATTGTTTCTCATTGTTCTACTGTTCACTGCTGAGATGAGTCTTTCTCCATCTTCTCTGCACTCTCCCTTAGCTAGTTGAAAACAGTAATAATCAGGTGAGAAGGAAGGGCCCTCTGGAATACTGGGGAAAAAAGGAGAAATTCATGAGAAGTGCAGGTAGGGTATGTGTGTGCTTGTAAAGTAATTTCAAAAGTGACTTTTTGTCTAATGGTTAGCTGGACCAGTGAAAAACCACAAAGTGTTTTTCAGGAAGGTATGTTAATACAAGAATAGAGACAACTGAAAATATGACAACAATCAGTAAAAATAAAGTTCTGAAAAAGTTAATAAACTAGATACAGACATGTGGTGTTTTTTGTTGTTGCTGCTGCTGTTGTTCTTCGTGAGCCCCTGTAAGACTTCTGTAATGTAGCCAAGTATTTTTTTTCTTTTCTAAGGTAAATTCTTGAAGACATATAAATTAAGAATAGTCAGCAATGTGATAAGCAGTGACTGAAGAGGAGTATCTAATACACTCTTGTGCGGATCTAGAGAAATATAAAGCTCTATTTTATTATGTAGTGTCAATAAGCTAAAAGATAGTAAACAGCTGGAAGTGAGTGAGCCCTCAGATATAGTGTAAAGTATCCTAACTGTTCCATCCAGTAGGTATCTGTAGAATAAAATTGTTTAGGTAATTGCTGAATAATTGGAATGCAAAGCAGTAGAGGTCCCTCGCTATTAATGACACTATCTAAAAAGCATACAGAACTGCCTGCTGTCCTAAATTAGGAATGCTTTTGTCAGTGGGGAAGGGGTTGCTTCATCTCCTGGTGCATAACTCACTCCTTTTTGTACCAGCATTCTTTGTCTAGGAAAGAGCTAGAAAAAGACTGAGGGAGAAAAAAAGGAGGTTTAATTTAGTTATTACTAAGGTATTTGGGTAACTTGCCCTAAAAAATTGAAGCTGTTGCTTGTGACATCTCTTTTCTGACCTTCCTCTGTCACATCTAATATAGATTTTTGTCCCTTTAAAGAACTTTTCCTGGTTCTTAACAAGTTGGTTTTAGTCCTACAAAATTTCTTCTCTTTGACCTTGCTAAATAGTCTTGCCTTGCTTTTAGCCATTCAGAACACAGTTGCAAAATACTACTTACCTGGCTGTGTTGTTGACTGAATTCCTTTTTCTTTCTTTGCATGTCTCCACATTAAAAATAAGCTTCATATATTTGTTTTAAGGGTTCTTCCCATCCTGCCATCTATTGTTCATCTGTTACCCATCTATCAGTCTCTCTTACACAGGGGCTTATGCTGCCAGTTTTTATCATGTACTCTCTAAATTTTCAGAGGGATATTTCTATCACTTTTTCACAGGCCTGAATGAAACCTTCTTGATACACACAGATATCTCCTTTGCCTATTTTGGGTTTCTCCTTAGGGGGTTTTTTTTTGGTTTGTTTTGGGTTTTTTGATGATTCTACAATAAAGTTGTTAGGCTGCTTGTGTGTTAAGATCACTGCCTGTCATACTAAGCCTATGCTCTTGCTGTTCTTTGTAGTGCTGACCATCACTTCTAGTCATCGCTCTCGTTGTATACTGAAACTTATGATTTCATAGATTGTAAAGTTTCTAGGCATTATGGTAACGTGAATAATGAAAGGCACCCTACATCTGTGGAGTTCATTACATTGAATATTTCATTCAGGAGTTTGAGTCGCTATTCTTGGGTTTAGGGAGCATTGGGGGGGCGGGGGAGCGTGTTAGTTGGTTGGTTTTGTGTTTGGATTTTTTTTCCCAGTGGTGTAGAACAGGACAGGAGAACCTAAATCACTTTATTTGTCCAGTAGCTTAATGTGATCCTTCTAGCATTGCCTCTTCTGGTTGTGTTTTTTTCTTTTTTTTTTCTAGGTGAGTATTGGTTTTATTTTGTTGTGGTTTTGTACCCTTATTTCATGTAATCTTGCAAAATAAAAACTTATTTTTTTTCAGTTGCGTTAGTTAACCCACAGTTCTGAATAACAGCAGTAAAGATGATGGAAAGATTAGTCATTGGCTTCATAAGAAAAGTACTAGAAGTACAAATAATATTTTAATGCACCCATACACGTACTCCCTTCCCCTTCAGATTTTCTTGGTTTTGTTGATATTCACAAAGTGGTAATTATCTTCACAACCTACAGGGTTAGAATAGGAGTTCAAAATATACTGTCTTCTGTTTCATCAGCTAGTAAATACTTAACACTTTCCCTTTTCCCTATTTTCATTAAAAGATAATAATTTGGCCTTCTTCCCAATCTTGGCAAGACTTAAAGGTGGTACAGAAAGAAAAGAGCTTGGTGTATTACATAAGCAATCTTCTAAGTTAATTTTCTTATTGTACTTCAACACTACCTTGTTTTTTAAACTAGTCAAAAGGATAGGTTCTGCAAAGCCTTAATTATGACTTGTGCCCAGTCCCACAAACTTCTACATAAGGGAACAAAATTTTCTTAAGAGCTTGATGAAGACACTGTATTTTCTCCCTCATCCCCCTTTTCCTCTTTGAATTTATGGTCAATCCATGTTTTTCATTATTAGTAGGTAGTGTAAGAAAAAGAGAGAAATGGGGAAAACTGTTTACATGGCCTTATGAAAAGAAAATCTCCATGTTTTCCAAGGCAGCCAGAATCAAATACTGAACTCTGTGAACTGTATAGGTTATTACTGTAGATACACAGAAAGCCATATTATTTTTTTCGATATATGCTTTAAACTTTTTTCAAACTTAAATCACCTTTACTTGCCCTTGGTTTTGATGTCATGTTTTGCAGTGTAAAATGGAAAGAGAATAATGCATTTAAAATGAAGTGTGGGTTGGGTAGGGGTTTTTTTCACCCCCTTAAAACACTGGCTGCAAACTACAGCTTCATTCTCTTAATAAACTTAAGTGTATGTATATTTTTTATTGTTTTGCCCCGTTGTAGAATATATTCCTAAGTGTTACCAGTAAAAATCTTCCTTACTCTTTATAAATACTTGTTGTCCATACATTCAGACTTTGTAGAAACTGTTTCCTTTGTGTCTCTAAATACTGAGAGTCAGCCCCTTGGCTATGTCTCCTGAAAGACAACCACCTTGCCTCTTGCCCAATAGAAGTTGAAAATGGTATTTGAAGAGGTCTCATGTTAGACGAAGACACTTGTATTTTGTTGTATGTTCTCTTGTTCTGTTTTAATAAAATACTCATTTTGGGTATTCTTACAGTTACATCTATGTAGGTTAGAATCTACTCAAACATGGGGTAACTTACTGAATTCCTGTGCGGATGTATAAACCTCCTCACTAGGTGGATTATGGAAAGAAGAGAGTCATTGTGCCTTTCATTTAGGCTTACCATCTTATGTGATTCTTAAACATCTTTACTGCAAATGTATCAATAAATAGATTTCCTCAAATAGCGTTGGGCAGGAAGTATGATGAAGCTTTTAAAGTAATCTTTCCCCTCTAAAAAAGACAATGGACAAATTAGTCTGGTCTTCTACAGTATCACTTTTGGGAACAGTATTGGGAACCGCAGAGCTGAGTTTTGTTTAGCTGACTAAAGAAACGTCTTAGGAGTTCATTCTTTTTTCCATTAGAGAGGGCAGAGGAATATTACTTGCTGCATGTTTTTTCAGGCATTTAAATTGCAGCTGTTTATCAGCAGACTTTGCTTATTTTAAACTTGAGAGCCCCAGGTGACTGAATAAAATTTTCCTATAGAATATGGTTTTTCCAGCAGAAATATAGTAAGTTGTGAAATGTTAACTTTTTGGAAAATACACAGGGTTCCCACATCTTTCAGTTTTCCTCCAAAATGTATTTCTTTTACCAGTAGAAGTACTGTTTCAAAATAGGATTTGTGTATGCCACAGCGTACAATCAGCTTTTTCTTATAATTATGAATGGTCAGTGTGTGTACAGTAACAATAGTTTCTGAATTCAGTTAGGTTCTTCTAGACTGTGATAACACAAATATTTCAAATTGGTTTAGATCATATATAATTATTAATTCTGCAGCTGTTGTTGTGATACATAATTTATCTGAGTAAAAGAAGAATATCTGATTAAAAAGTGAGCACCCAATTGTAGGCTAAGGTTGTCAAAGCTTAGCAGGTGCTACAGTCTCTCTTTCCTTCTTAAGTAGCTCAGTGTTAGGTAAAAGATCCAAAATCACTCTTTGTATTGTGACATATAGCTTTAGTATAGGAAAGACGATCAGAAAGCCTTTGGCTTAGACACTGTTCAGAAGTCCTAAAGAAGCAACTGAGAATTATTTGAAGATTCATGATTATTGTCTGGCACTTAATCTTTGTCTACTTCAAAATGTGTTATTCTCATAGTTTGAAAGGACTTTTCATGTAAAAGAACACCTTAAAAGGTACACCTACTAGAATATGTATCTTGTGTCTCTTTTCTCAAAAGGCCATCAAAGATCACAGGGTTTTTTGAGCTGCTGAAACCCAGCAGCTCCAATAGAAGCACTGGTGTCAGGTGTTCTGGAGTATTCATGGAATCAAATAATATCATAAGTTTATTCATGCATCCTCTGACCCATGATTTCTAGTTAAGGTGAATAGTCGGTACTCCTCTGTTTTGTGATAGAACACTTTCAAAATGGCTGAAATGCTTTAATGCTTTAGTAAATAGTGCTGAGAGTGTTTTCACTTCCCTTTCATAAACCTATTTAAATAAATAAAACATGGGGATTTTGTGTGTCTTTGTTAGCACTACGATTTATTTAGCCTTATTTATTAAAACTTGAATCTTGTTTATTTTCCTTTATTCTCCTTAAATTTTGGGAAGTATGAGTTGTTGCAATGTACTTCACATTGTAAATGCTCTGTTATGCTTCTAAAAAGATACGTATATGAGTGTACTCATTTAATATTATTCTATTCTTTTCTTTTCCAGTTTCTCAAACAGCTAGGTATACATCCTGACTGGCAATTTGTAGATGTTTATGGTATGGAACCAGAACTGCTTAGCATGGTGCCAAGACCTGTCTGTGCAGTGCTACTTCTCTTTCCAATAACAGAAAAGGTAAGTGTTTATTTTATAATCAGCTAATCACTTTTGCTGTAAATGAAATGGGAATGAACAGTTTAAATCTGGTTCTTGATGTCATGATAGAATCAAGATGAGACTCAAACCTTATTCGAGAGACTTCTTAATTAAGAACAACAACAATAAAATGCTTCCTTCAGAACCTTCTTTTCATAACCTTACGTGTATGTTTCCAATTTCTTTTCAAGTTGGAGTGGGAAAAGCTAATGTAGAATCAGAGAAATACGCCTAACATTTTTCTATTACAGACAATTTAAGGCTTTTTTTTTAAATATGCACTATGAAATGGCTCAGTTCTGCTACTTTTAGCAGAAGGCTACAACAGCATAAGCAAAATAAGAGGTGGGGTATAGGACTATATCAAATGCAACTATTTTTTGAGTTTTTGTACTGTCGCACTGACCAAACTTCAATCCACTTTCAGTTCAGTCATCAATACCAATATGGCTTTCACTTTTTGGACAGATAGGGCATATTTCTAAAATGAAAGAGAATTCCCCACACCCCCCTTTTTCCTCTATGTTAGACTTTGAAATACTTGATTTGGTTAAATCTTCAAGTCTGCTTGTTTTGTGTCATCACATGCTTCTACATAGAGAAGATACCCATCTTACATATCTCCTTCGAGTGTTACGTAGGCTGAAATTTGTGATTCATATTGATCTTTCAGTTTCTAAAAATCTTATGTGATTGTAATAAGGTCAGCTGAAATGTTTGAGGTGAATTTGCCCAAACTTCTTCCTCTTAATGTGTCTCTCAAAAAGAACACATGGTTTATAAGGACAAAGCAGTTAGCTATTAAAGCTTAACTTCTGTAACAAAACCTGTTTAAATAGAAGAGTGACTAGGTCAGTCCTCTTACTCATTAGGTCTTGTAAACCTTTGCATTTTTTCTCCAAAACAGCCATGCAGGCAGTCCTCCTCAGGCTTGATTTCAGCCACCTTGATAGTTTTAAATTTAAGCAAACTCTTAACTGTCCGCACCTGTCTTCAGGAAATTCCCTTTCTGTCACCTTTGAGGAGTTGTTTTCTGTGTGCTGTGGTTTCTGTCTGTCTGCTTGAGCTACAGGTCTGAGCTCCTTCTGTGACTGTCACTTTTCTTTTGCCTCCCTTCCTGTGCAAACTTCCTTTCTTGGATCATGCTATGGGAGCATCATCCCATGGGAAAGAGCAACCTTACTGTTGTTCCAGAAGGTGTATCCAATTTCATTCTGAAGAAGCATGTGACAAACAGAACCAGAGAAACAGCATATGCTCTGTTGCATAAGTCAATCAAATTTGACTACCAGCCAAATATTTGAGATTTTCTCCAGCATGTTAATCTTCCAGAAACATAAGGGACACAAGTGTTACTATCAACTGCTTAGCCTGAGTGTGTGAAGGCTGAATCTTTCATGTGAAGTCTCAATGATGTGAAGCTTTTGTTGTTCAGTGTGAACTCCACAAGACTCTTGAGCATTATTTTGTATTTCTGGAGTACTTTTCCCCTCCTCAGTCTCACTTTCAATATGGCCTGTTATATTCTGCTTTAATTTAATTTTTCATTTATTTATGTTTCTTGGCTGTGTCTACATTTATGAAAGTATCCCCCTTAATTAATTTTACTGCCTTTGTAAACACTTTTCTATCATGCCTTTGTTCTTCTATCTAGAAGTTCGTTTCTTTCATGTTTCCTATATATCAATTTGCTTGAACTTGCTTTTAGGGCAAGATACTCTTGTTTGCATACAGGTAATCTTGGGGTTATTGTACAGTTTAAAGGTCAATGATTTTCTTAGTCTGCATTGTAGGTTCTAGACAGTGAATGCTGTGAGCGTTGAGCATTTTGGGCATGGCCCAATGAATACATATCATGGGATAGCTCTGGTTAGGAGGGACCTCTTGAGGTGATCTGGTCTAACCCTTGCTCAAAACTGTATTTTCAGTATTCTCAACATTTATATATTTATTTTTGCCATTGAGTCTATTTTGGTTGTCTAATATGAACTTTTGTCCAATTATGCTCTATGAAATATTTTTCTCAATTAAGAAAAATTTCTCAACTGTCTCTTTTTTTTTTTTAACATGTAGATAAGTGATGTCAAATTAAAATGATTTGTAAATGCTCTTGCTATTGTTTAGACCATTCAGAACATTCAGAGAAGCTACAAGTGTGGAATCATGATGCTGGAAAAATTTCCTGTTTCTGTTTGTCACTGACAGTACATAGAGTCTGAGAGAAATTTCTCATGGGTTTTCAGGAAAAGTTCTTGATAACATTCTGCATTCAAACTTTACTTTTGTATAAAAAGCCCATCTACTTCTACTTTATTTTTTGTCTGCAAAAGTACCCAGTAAAAGAGGCAAAGGAGGAAGAAAGAACAGCGTTGTCTGGAACATTTGCAGTTTTCTTTTGTTCTTTTTCTGTTTGAGATTAAAATCTTAAAAAAACCCAACCAAACAAAAAAACCCCAACAAACAAACAAACCAACCCCATCCCCCCAAAAAAGAACCAACAAAGCACAACCCACAAAAAAACCCCACAAAACCAACACACTGTTGCATAGTATAACATATTTTAGTCAATTCTGATCTTTACAAAACAAATACTTTAGATTTTTCAATTATACTAAATTCTTTCTTTTACTTCAGAAAATAAACATTCACTTTATGAATATGGCTTTTGAAGGGCCTGTTTTGAGGCCATGAGCATTATATAAATCTTTTTATATTCTATATTCCTGGAAAAAATAAAATGTAAAAATGGAACTTGTAAAAATGCTTCATGCTAATTAAGCACCTGAAGTATTATGGTTTGCTTGATAGCGCTTTGCATCCTCTGTCCTTAAAATCTTTTTGTTGGATTGAAGAGAGATGGTGACAGGTGCTCAGATCAAGGAAATATTTTGAACATTTTTGGAATTATGTTAGATAACACATATTTCAAAATTATGTTTCCTGTGTGACTGGGTTTTGGCTAGTGAGAAGGCATTGGTTTAAGAAACAATATAGAGCTGTTCAGTTGAGTAAGTTTACATATACTTGTCGGACCACATGGGTTAAGTGTTTCAAATTACAAGATGAGTTTTGGTTTTTATTAGTTAGCTGTTGCTTTTTTAAAATTATTTTTGCTTCAGTAATGTAGCCAGTATCTATTTGTACTATTTGTGAAATGTCTGTAACTTTCCTTCTAGTATGAAACCTTCAGAACAGAAGAAGAAGAGAGAATAAAAGCTAAGGGACAAGATGTCAAATCATCGGTGTATTTCATGAAGCAGACCATTAACAATGCTTGTGGAACAATTGGGCTAATTCATGCTATTGCAAACAACAGAGATAAAATGAACTTTGGTAAGTTTTGTTGGTTGGTTGATTGGGGTTTTTTGTTGGCTTTTCCCTTGTTTTTCCTTAACTGTGGGGGAGGCATGGAGGGAAGGATACGTTTTGTACTACTTTCTCTGAATATAACCATTCATAAAGGACAATCTCTGTTCAAAGAGCGTTCCTACCTATAATTGTAAAAACAGTATTTCATACCAATCCATGAACTAAAGCACTTGAAACATTGCAACTAAAGCAGGTAGCAATTCCTCTTGCAGTCAGCCTTCAGTGTCTTAAAGATACAATGTAATTATATCTTTAAATCTTGTTGGAATAAGCATTCTGTAAGCTTTGAATGAATTTGGGGTTACAGCATGACTCTAATTATGTCTTTTTTATTTTTTTAAGAAACTAATTCTTCACTGAAAAAGTTCCTAGAAGATTCATTATCTATGACTCCTGAAGAGAGGGCCAAATATCTAGAAACTTATGAAGTTAGTATCACGTGGTTTTACTTTTATTTAAAATGGCGTAAGAATTACTTGCGTGAGCAGTCAGTCTAGCTCAGTCAGCAGAATGGATTTTGTCAATGTTTCTCATCCATATTAATTCACTGGTATAGTTTAAAATGACTTTGAAATGGATGAGAAACGTGTGCATAATCTTTTTGGTGGGTTCAAGATGCAGTTTAATGGTCAATTTAAGCAGCTCTGGGGCTATTGCTGAAAGGGTGGTCCTTCTGCTGCCTCCTTTCATTTGTGCCTTCTAGTCATCTCTCTTTGGCTTTAGCAGTTTGGGGCACACAAAGAGGTGATTTGGCTGAAATATAATCTCCTTCCCCCAGCACCCCAAACAATTAGATGGGCTAGCTGATAGTGTGGTTAGCCAGATCATTAGTGCTGTTTGAAAGGATGCGGCAGAAACATCTGGCCAGTGGTGGAAGGGGAGAACGGTGCTGTTGCTCCTGATGGTAATGATGATTCTCTCAAAATGAAAATCTAGATGATTTCCAAGTCTGAGTTTAAATTTAAGCTTATTGTGAAGCCCTCAGGAATAAGGGTGTTAACATGTGGCTGAGGGAGGTAGTAACAAACAGAAACAGTAGAGGTTTGATGACATTTTCTGTAGAAATGTTGGACACAAGATATCTGATCAGAGCTTCTGTCTAAAGTATTTTGTCTGCTCAAGAAGTGATATATAACAAAGACACTTGCCCATAGTGTTTTCTGTGTGTAAAAGGGCCATTACAAACTGTCAGATATTTGATTTGAATTGACTGTCATGAAACTGAAATACTGGTCTTCTGAGATCCTTGGAAGTGGAGATTATTTGTTTGTTTGTTTGTTTGTTTATTTATTTCAAGCACTGAACAAAAATAGTTACGGCTATGGCATTTGATAAAATGACGAGCATACAGTGATTCTTAAAACACTGAAAGTCTCTCATTTAAAGTCTAATTGAAATATATTTTAATTTTAGGCTATTCGTGTCACTCATGAATCCAGTGCCCATGAAGGTCAGACTGAGGTATTCATTTTTAAAAAAAATCTTTGTTAATAACTACTTTGAGTTGAATACAATTGAAATGAAAACAATCATGTATTAAAGGTTTACAGTGAAATGGAGATTATTGCTTGGTTTGCAGTATTGTGTCATTAGTCAAAAATCAGGGCACAAAATCAAGTGGCATTGTTGGGCGGAACCAAACTTGAAGCTTCTTTGGTTTGTTTTTTTGGGGGGGGAAGGGGTGTTAAGCTTTCCTATAACATGGATGATCTTTTCAAGCTTCATTTCGGAGTAAAACAACCAGTAATAGTATTTTTAATGAAAGTTGGGGTTTGGATACTGCAAATTTGTAGCTGAGACTGTAAGATCAATAGTAATCATAAAAGTGGAACAAACATTTTATGAGAGTCTGAAAAGTTTTACTTCAGGAAAAGAAATAATACAATACTTGGTTTGCCATTCTGTATGTGCTGTTTGTGTACAGATACTAATTCAGATAAATTCTCACTAATACATATATCTATAAGCTTTTATCCCCCAACAGATTGGATGATACAAAAAAAACAACCAAACAAAAAAAACCCCACCCAACCCCAAAACCAACTAAAAACCTTAACATAACCTTAACATTCAACATTTTTCTGCTTCAGTCATACCAAGGCAGTTTTCCATCTTTCCGGTTCTGATTTCAGTATCTGTCCCACAAAAAGAAAACTGTAGAGTTTTGCTAGCACTGCTTTGTTTGAGAAAGAGAAGAACCCTCCATTGTTTGGCTGTGGCTCCAGTGGCTCATCCGCTTTCTTTTTTTTGAACTGCAGTAGGTGACGTTTTCTTTCTTCTTATGGCTCGTGCAGTGTCTTCTAAACAATGCAGGAGAAAACAAAGCAATCCTTTCTGCTCCCCCTTGCCCCACCATCTGGAAATGAAAATTAAGAGAATTGTTTTAACTATTTCTACTATAGATATTCAACTTCCTTTGTGATATTTTCTTTAAAAAACACCACCACCCTTTCTTCTTATCTCTTCCTCTAAATTAATCAAGCTTCTATATTTCAAGAAGAAATATCAGAACAAATTCATACATCTCTTCCTTTTCTAAGTGAGAGACTCAAAAAAAATCTGGTCTGTTTTCTTTGAGTCCTTTTCTAGATGTTCCTGGTAAGCCCAGTAAGAGAGAGGCTATGGAGATTATTCCCACAAGTTGCTGAAGACTGAATCTTTTCCTAAGATCCTTGTGAAAGAGAAAAACTTTTTTAGTTGTTTTGATGTACTGTGACATTCATCCAGGGAATGGTTTGTCTATGCATTCTTCTGGCAGAAATTATGGAATGATTGGAAAGAAAATGCAGGGGCTGTACAGTTCCTGAGAGTCTTTGTAAAGATTCAGGAGGCATCTAAGTGATGATGGAATCTCCTAATAAGGGAGAGTTAACTTCTTGAACTTCCATGAATTAATTTGTTTACTGATCAAGATGACCACAGTACAAAAGATTAATAGTTGTGTGGAAAGATGAAGACTTTTTTTTCATATTAAAGCTTCGCAAGATTCTCTTAGCAACCTTGTCTAAACACAAGTATTGAATAGGTTGTTTCTTTGCCAAATATTTATTATTCCATTTTGCATAACTGAATCTGGAAGTAATTCAATGTGTATATTCCTTAGACTGGTAAAATAACTTTTTCCTGTCCTTCTGTTTCCAAAGTTGAAATAGTACAATAGTACAGCTGAATACATGTCCTAGGACGATTCCCCAGAATAGTTCTGATCCATCAACCAAGGAGGAAAGAAAGAAACAAGTCAGCTGACTGGAACATCTAATTGCCTGAATATCCTGTCCTACCAAAGTGTAGTTAAATTGGCAGCAAGGCCTCCCCTTTTATCTGTACAGGACAAATTGCTTTACTTTAAAGTACAATTCTTTTTAAGCAAAACAAAATCTGAGATGTGAATATGCTGAGAAGTGCAATTGAGGGTTGGAGTGAGTTAATCTCATAGTCTTCTTCCTTTCAATGGTACGTTTTAAATGTTGCTGTATACCTCTTCATATAGTGGTGGAGGGACTGATGAACAGCATGCCCTTGAAGATGCTGGAGTTAGGATATGCAGGTCATACAAGGATGTTGACTTGTCCTGCAGGGTAAGTTGATAATTTCTAGCACCTTTGGAGCAAGAGAGAAGAGAATCCCATTCCTCTTGCATAACCATTATTGTTATGATTACTTTCCTGAGAACTTAAACTTCCTTTCAGAGCACTGGAAAAGAACATGTTTGCCTTTCTGTGACTCTGTTGGGTTTTTGTTCTCCCCCCTGCCCTGCCCCTCTCCCTGAACAGCAAGGGCATTTTGCATAGAAATCTTCCCTTTGAATAAAGTGGCTTATATAGTTGCTTAATGATAGTAACTGCTGTAACTTTGGGAGCAAGAAGTCCTTTCCAGGTCTCCTACAGAAAGATTAAGAAAATGTGCAGGCCTAGTCTTTTAGGACGATTAATTTGGCTTGCGTGCTTCCTAAGAATAGCCTGCTCTGTGGGTAGTTCTGTCCCTTAGATAGGTATTGCATACTACTGTCCACTCGAATTCTTCTGAAAATGTTACTTAAGATCAACTGTGTTAGACAGAATAACTTCCAAAAGTGGGATGTATGGCAGTCGGCCTCGCTGATTTGGTTAAGAAGCTGCTCTCAAGATGCTGTTCTTTCCCTCCCCCATGCAAAACACACCACCACCTCACCATAGATCAGTATTATGGGATAAAAGTAAAATTTTCTGGAATCTTGAGATGGGAAAGGTTTAAAAATAGCAAAGAATACAGACAGGTTCTCTTCTGATGGTATTGGTTTTTTTTCTGGGCTCTGATTCCTCAGATCTTTGAGGATTGAGCCTTTAATGCTTCTAAGTAAAGCCTTTATTTGTCGATTGTTCCTTGACAGTCTTGCTAAGCCATCTCAGTGGCTACTTGATTTTTACAGTATGCAAGTGGATTTTCTGCTTTTGTTTCTGTTCTGTGTATGTGGGTGTTTCAAACGTTGAAATAAAGCAAGTCTATCTAGAAATAAAAGATTAGTAATAGAGTAAAGCAATGCTATCTTTCTAGTATCTGTGTATTTTATCTATTCATCTTGTCCAGTGGGTAGGATTTGTTTCTGTTTTCGAATAATCTGTAATCAGATTATTTTTATTTTAATTTCTTATGTTTTTAAGAGAAGTTATATTTGGGAAAAAAGTATCTGACAAGATATTACTTGTATAGCTTTAATATTAGTGGACTGCTAGATTCTACATTCCAGTTAGTGATTGCTGGAAGAGAAGAATTATGGTGGCCAGTTTGCTTCTGGGATTTATCATTAATATGTGAGGCCTTTAGATGAAGCATTAAGATGAATTGCTAAACAAGTGGATTGAAGCTGAGAGCTATCGAGTGTTATGCCTTGATGGGTGCTTTAACAGGCTTCCCAAGTTTGATAGCTGTGATTAATTTGCCTAGTTTCAAAAGAAAAAAAAAAGAAAAAAAAAAAGGCTGTGTTCCTAGCCATTTTATATAACTATTGGTATTGCATTTGAAACTTTTACAGGCCATCGACAGACTGGATTAGAACTGAGTATTTTGGGGATGTTTTTTGTATTAAAATATGTGAGGTTTTTAATGAAGTTTACTGAATTTTTATTAAGCGACTTAAGTATTTTCTCAAAAATAGAGAAGTTTTTTTTGTCTTTCAAAGAGATTACATTTTAAGAATAGTTAAGTGGTTTTCATTTTGCAAATTCATTGTAGGTTTGCAAATTAAAAGGTTTGTAAACTTGGGGTTATCCTTCAGGCCATGTTTTGGACCAGGTTTGATTCAAGTTTTGTGTTAATACTCCTGGATTCTGTGGCTCCATGGCTCACTTTTTTGCTGCAGTAAAGCAAATAAATAGATAAAGCAGTCCTATGGGTACTTCTATGTGTAAAAAATGTAGGTCTGTTTAAAATTACTTTAGTAGCAAGCAGTAAGATCTGGGAATAATTCCAGAAGAGAAGCATGGTGTTGGTTTCAGGGGTTTCAAGGGTGTTTTGATTCTGGTCCCATATTCCAGTACCATAATGAGGGCAATTAATGTGAGACTCTTAACGGTCTTTCTGTTAAACTTCATGCTGCTGAAGCTTACACTTTCTCAAGTGACAGGTATTTCATATGCAAAGCTGCCAAAAAAGGATCTAGGTCTTTACGATAAAGCCTCATGGATCCAGCTTGCTCTCCTTTCTATGTGATAGCTCCTGAAAGGCAGCTATTGCTGAGACTGGAATAATTGCCAGCTACTCAAGATCCTCTTTATTCTTTCATGAGTCTTCTGCTGAGCATATACTTTTGTTTATAATATCTAGGCTGTCTGAAGATGTGGAAAATATAACCTGCTTCTTTGCAGAACTGCAGACACTTCTAAGCTGGTCCTTATATTGTTTGTTGCTTCCTACTGAGCAGTGTTTGAGTTTTTCTGTCTGTTTTGTGTTTTTTTTCTTTTTGTTCTTCCTGTGCCTCCTTCAGCAGTTCATGAACTGCTGAAACCCTGTACTACCACACATCTTGACATTTCTGATACTCTCTTATAAAAAAACAAAACAAAACCCACAACCCTTCAAAAATATTAAAAAGACAATACAGTTTGTGGATGCTAGAGCATCTGCATTAGCTGTCTAATATACAGTGATCATTAATGAAGAAGTTATGGCAAAACATGAGGGAGGAAAAGTAGCAACTAATAGCACTGATCATCATTGGGTTCATATCTAACTTTTTTGTATTACTATCTTGGGTTGCTTTTTTTCAGAACAATCATAGTAACTATTGTCAAGTAACAGATCAGAAAATCTGAGGGGAGAATCTTTTGAAAACGGGAAAACATGTAATTACATGAGAGAGACTGCCAGGTCTCCAGTCTCTGCAGAGCAAATAGCCCTTTTGAATTTGGAGCTGGGCAAGAAACTTACTTTGTATCCTACCTAACTCATTTTCATGAATAACAAAAAGTTACTGTATAGTTTTC